GGGGGGGATAAAAGCTTCCTTCAGAGGGACAGTTTCCAACCACTGCACAATCGCCTTTATTAGCATAATGCCTCCTCCTGCATTTTGTAAAACACTTTCCTTTTTCCATCTCAGGAAGAATGCAGATGCAGAAATTGCTGCCACTGGGGGGAAAATTGTAAAATTTAAACCACGAGGCATTTGTTCAAGACTCCTGGGTAATGATGTCTCTTGATATATAATTCATGATAGCCTTAAAGCTTGGCCTACTTCTGATACAGCGATCATATATTTTGGACACATCGGGGAGGGGGAGGGAGAAAACCTCTTTTACACGGATCTTCCGTATTTGCCTTTTGAGTGCAGCCAGGCAATATTCTGGACCACTCTTTTCTCCCATAAGGGTTCCCTTAAAGAGCTTTCAAAATTTTTTTTTCTCTTTTAAATTGAAGATGCAGCATAGCATCCAGTTTCAGTTTTACCTTCTGTAACACTAGATACAAGATGAGGCTGAATCCATCTGTTAGCACATATAGGCTGCAAACTGTGCGAAAGCGGGAACACACGCACGCACTCCTTGCGAAAAGGGAGAAAAAAAGATCCACACTTAAAAAATTTATCATCAGCAACCCTACCCATTGCCTACCAGACAGCAGCACTTTTATCCTTTTATGGGCAAATTCAGGAGGAAGCCAGCCTCGCCACAAAGGCTGTTCCCCCTGCACTGCCGCATGAATTGGGATGCTGGGGCTGGCTGCAGGCCAGGCCCCTCCCCCACAGCCGGGGGTTCCAATCTCACCGAAATCAGTAAGGATACCCCTGGGTGTCATTACCTGCCATGTCTCAGCCCACTCTAGACGACCGTGAGTCACAGAGCAGCTAGAAGGTTTCCATCCTCTGGTACAAAAGCTGCACTCCTGGGGCTGGGTTTTCTGAAGGAAATGAGCAGGCAGGCTGCCTGGGCCCCATGTGGGTCACTTGACATTTCCTGTGGCACTGTTGGTTGGGATGGCACCATGAATTGCCTCCCTGGGCTTTGAGAACTGCTTTTGCTTAACAATTCCCAAAAATGCTGTGTGCAGCTGATCAGATCAGATGCCATGAATCAGATCGGATGCACTAGCAGATCGGAGATTGGAGGTCGGAGGTGACCCGGCTGGGCCAGCGCCAGAACTCACATCGCTCACACCGCCACAACTGCCTCTTTGAAGTGGGCACAGTGCAGGTGAGGAGTCCTGAAATGCACAGAGTCGCTTTGTTTCTTCAACGCAGCAACCATATTAATCGCAGAGTTCTAAAAATAAGCCAGCTTCAGTTCTTTAATGAGGTGAAGCTTGCACACTCACAGTTTGGAAGAGGGTGGGGGTGGAGGTGACAAGGGGGAGCGACCACACAAGCCACTGCACTTCACAAGGCTTACGGCGGCTTTTAGGAAGGGCTGGGGGCCAGAGCTGCACTCCACACACCCTGCGCGCTGGCGGCTGCGTCCTGCGGCGCCGACTTCTGCAGTGTCTCTCCGAGCCCCTCCTCCTTCCGCCTCCCACGGCCACTGCCCTAATTTAGGCCTTATTATCTTTCTCCGGGATGGTTTTGCACACGCAGCCAGATGACTCTTCCTGAAGGAGCACAGCTATTATTGCGCCACTTCACGGCTCAAAAGCCTTTAACGATTTCCCCACTGGCTAAGAAATAAAGCCCAGACAATAATTTCTAAGGCACTCTTCATCAGGTCCTGGCTGAAATTCTAGCCTCACCCTTTTTTCTCCTTCTCATAGGCTCCTTCCCAGATCACCACCACTTTCCAGCTGTCCCACCTGAGTGCCCTTCCTCTTATTTTTCTGCCTATCTAAAATAGTCGCCTAGCCTCTCCACCTCCTTAATTGCAAATCCTGTTCATCCTTCAAGACCAAGTTCAAAGGCCACTTCAGCCATGAACTCAACCTTGACCGCCCCCAGGGAATACGTCCCTGTCCTCTGAACTCCCATCATTTTACTACACCTCAGTCACTTTCTTTTGCTAGAACAGATTCTGTCCACCTTGTTTTTCTCCTTACAATGTCAGATATCGGAGGGCAGAGAAGAACATCTTCATTCTACCTAGAGTGGTCCCGATATGTCGTAGGAGCTCACTAACTTTACATGAGTAAATTAGTAAGGATGGCTCCAGGGCCGCAGACATAAAGCTGTTTTGTGGGAAGCCTCGCTACTTACACAGGTCATGTCACGGCGTGTAGAAAAGCATCACTAAAGGAGCATACAGGATGGAGAGGAAGCCAGCTCGGTGGGCTGGGGTTCTAGGCGGATGACCTAAGGACTTCCACAATGCTAAATCCAACACTCGATTCTCAGCCTCCTTAACTAGATTGTCAGCAATTTTGACACAGTTGAGTCATCATCCCTTCTAGAAAGTCTTATTACTAGAAATCGCAGTCTCTTATTCTTCCTTCTAGCTAATGCCTGCTCCGTCTCAGCCTCCTTGGCGAGTTGCTTCTCTTTCTCCCCCCCCCCCCCCAAAACTCTCAGCACTGGCCTCCCACAGCACTCAGGTCTTCAATCTCTCCCTTCTCCATCAAGACTCACTCCTTTGGTGATCTCATCCAGTTTCATGGCTTTAAGTATCATCTACATTTTGAGGAATCTCAGATTCATTTCCAGTTCTGACCTCTCCCTGTATTTCATGCCCCTCATCCAACCTGTCAGAGAAATCTGGCTTTTCCTTTAAAACATATCCAGCACAGATCAAAATAGATTCCCTTTTCTTTGCTCCATTTCCCCCCATTGCTCTTTTGAACTTCTAATATCCTAGAAGTCAGTAAATATCACTTTATTCCCTTTACCTGAGTTATGATCAGTTGTTATCATTATTATTTATTATCTAACTTCCTTCCACTGATGTGCCATCTCCCCAGTGCTAGAGCTATGCATGGCACAAGGTAGGCACTCAGTAAATATTAGTCCAATGCGTGAACGGACGACTTCAGCTGATAATCTTTGAACTGTAGCTTTACAAATAAATAGCATTTAACCACAGAAAAAGGCAGACGAAAGGCATCTCTAGGCAGGAGAAACGCAAGAAGCTAAGGCCTATAGATATAAGCGTTTCTGATGTCATAAGGTGCAACATTATCCCAAAAGCCTGCCTGAATTATACCAACCCACTAAAGAAGCAAAGTTCAGCAGTTTCCAACTTGTCCAGACAAGTCGAGGAAAGTTTCAAGAGACTTCAACGGACAACTATACTTTTTTTTTTTTTAATGTAAAAAGACATACCGTCAAAATGGAAGTGAAGCACATCAAAACTGGTAACTAATTGTGTATAAACCTTCCCTCTGCAATTTTATTCACATTACAGATGTTCACGTTTTTTTATAGTTAATAAGTATTAACTGTATCTAAATGTAAAGTATATCTATAGTATCTGCACTATCTAAATCTAAACTCTATCTAAGGTATCTATTGTTTTATCTCTATTCACCCACAATTCGGCGACCTGTAAGTACGTTTTCAGGGCCAGGCTCTGTCAGTCCGGCTCCCTGTCATATCCTCAGGGCTCACCCAGGCTCAGTGTTTTAAAATTATCTGTTTGATGATGAAGAAGTGAATGGATGCCTTCTGAGTGTCTCCTGCCAGGTCCAGTTTCACGATACAAGGATACATTCTGAGAACCAATTCTCCACCAGGTTTGTCCTCTGAGGCAGAAAGTGCCTAGCCCTCACCCTGCCCCAGCGCCTGGCTTCCAGCAGACATCCGGTAAGGATCTGATGCCCACAAGTCAAGTTCATCTACCTGCAGACCCGGGAGTGGTAAAGGGCGTGGACGTGCACCTCTCTTGCTGACTCCCTGTGCCAGCATCTCAGCATTCTCTCCGCTGTTACTGGGATTTGGTCTGAGGCAGAGAGCTGCTTTGGGGCACAGCAGAACACCCCACTTAGCTGTGGTGCCCACCCTGCCACACAGAGAGGTTGTGACTAGAATCAGAAAGGCTCTACTCTAAGATCAGCCTCTTTAGTGGATGGCTGTGTCATGGAAGCCTCCATGTTTTACTCCCTAAAAACAAAGCCATCACACAGTGTGCCACACAGGCCATGCCGAGGATTTGTAAGACCCTCTGAAGGCCGACCTCACTGAGTTCTAGTGGCGAATGATGATTTCTTCTACGGGCGCTCCCTGCCATGTCCCCCAATGAGCTGCAGCCTACCAGCTACTCGAGATGCGTCTGTCAACCGGCTGCTGTGCCATACCTACTGTCGTCTCTCTAAAGCTTCCGCTAAGCGTGTTTTCTTGGCAGATGTTTGTGGAGAGACTGGCTATTACCCAACTCAGAAGCATAAATAGGGGCTTATGGGCTCTGATTAGAGTCAGGAATTAACTGGGCTGGAGAAGTAGCTTCTGAGGAGGCCACACTTAAGATAATCGCATGGGAGATGAATTCAGCATCGCTGGGCATGCTGTCTTCTACCTCTGGGGGGTCTTTTACGTGGAAGAGGGTCAACTATTGCTATGGGAAATCAGAAGACAGTGGAGCAGAAAAATAAAGCAGGGTGTTCACACACACACACACACACACACACACACACACACACACAGCCATAACCACCAAGCCTCCTATTGGTCAGCAGCTAATTGGATTTACCTGATAAATGCAAGAGTTATCAAAGAAATTGATTAACATCAACATGAAAAGGTACAAATTCCTGTCTTTATTGTGGTAGAAACCAGGAAGGAAAGCTTTGGGATAGTAAAAGCACTCTTTCATCTGAAAGTTAGATTTCCATGGAACGTACAGACGTTCCAGGGGACAACTGGCAGGCGAACAGAACACATTCATGAGAACCAACATTTTTCGCATTTTTTCCAATATCAGGGTACTTTTATAAACACTCACGAAAATCACACATGACTTATGTCCGGCATTTATTAGTCTCTAAATTAATTAACTCATCTCTTCTTGGCTTGGATGGTGATTCAGCAAACACTAGCTGAGGTGAGCAAGGGTATATCCTGGGCTGGGGCAAAGGGTGTGGGATTTGGAGCTAGAGGTAGGTCTTAGCTTCAACTAAAACAGTCTTGAAAAGGTACATCCCCCTCTTCTAGCCTCAGTTTCCTCCTATACTAACATGAAGCTAGCATGTTGCGCCCATGTCACATGGCTGCTGGGGATTAAACGAGCTCCTGTAATAACAGACCTGGTGCAGTATCTGATATGTAAGGGGCACTCAACAATGCTGATCTGAATCGAATGCCTGTTAAGTAAACACCATCTGTGAAGTGAACCACACATAGTTTTGCTTTCAAAGCGGTCATATTATTGGAAAGGGAGATGGATTATATTCACCTACGACTCTAATATAAGGTAGAATGTGGTAAAAGACACCACAAAGAAAATGCTCTAGAGGGTCAGACAAAGCACAGATTACTTACAGCCAGTGAGATCTGGGAAGGCTTTCTGGAAGAAGGGGCACGCCATAGGAGGATGCCGCAGTTTATTTTCAAGGACAAGGATGGATGACTATTCATTTATACTCTGATATATAGAAAAGCCCAAGCCATTGTGCTTGGTAATTTGGAGGATATAAAAAAAGAGAGAGCATGACAAATACCCAGTCCCTACATATTTTATAGCCTAGTTGGGAAGAAGTCATATGTGTTTATATGCATGCACACACACATACACAATTCAGTTGTCCCTGAGAATTTGTGACAAATGGCTGATGAATAGTTCTGAAATTCAGTGACTACAATGGTAAGGCAAGTCATGCATGCAGTTGCAAGGTCTTAAGTAGGGACCAGATCAGATAGTTCTGGTTTTCCCCTCTCTGGGCCTCAGTATTCTCATCTGTAAAATGGGTGGCTTGGTCTAATTCCATGTGGCCACGTTATGCTAATTTATGTCCTTTGTCTGTGGGGATGGCTGGTAGGGTCA